AAGAATCCGGACAGGCCTTGCTGGGCTTCCCCCTCAGCCTATCACCAGTACTTTTGCCCAGTCACATTTCTACATGGCTGTCTAATCATAAACATAGATAATTTTCCCTGGGTCTTTGGGTCTTCATTTCTGAAGGTTCCAGTGTCAGGTAAAACCTTCATTAAATACATTTCCCTAGTTAACCTGTCTTCTGTTATAGGAGTGTTGGCTGTGGCCCTTACTCCGGGTGAGCAAAGCTATCACACCCTTCTCCCCCTGCAAGTTTAATGTGCTTCTCAAAGTTTGTGTCTCAACTTTAATTTTATTCCCCCTTGCCTAACTTGTAACGTATTTAGTTTTTAGCTAAAGGATGTCTCCTCAGACGGTTAATTTCCTGTAATTAGCTCCCGTCTCACCGTGCCCTTCGTTGTCACTTATCACACCTGTCATTTCAATTGTTTAACATCTGTCTTCCCTGATCAGCTGAGCACAACACCTATCTCATTTACAGGTGTATTTTTAACACTCTGCACACATATTAGGCACTCAATGCATGTTGGATGAATGAATGAATGAATGAGTTATAGTACACTGTATTAAACTTCCAAAAGGAAATATCCAGAGACACACAATATAGGGAACATTTTATTTGGAAAGATCTTAAGCATTATTTTATCTTCATTTTTCATTAAGGCAGTAACATCCTTCCTGGAGGCAGATGGGGGAGGCTACATGAAGTTCAGATTAAAGGCAAAGCCAACCACTTTACATTCAAAAGCAGTGGAAATACTGGATGGGCTGGAAGAAGCCACATTTTGGCTTTCTGGTCCCACTGCCAAGAAACAGATCCAGGGTGATGCATTTCAATTGCTTTGAAAAATGGCTATGTTCCATTACATACCACCCCTAAAGAAAAAACCTTACTGATGAGCCCTTTCACCACGATAGGGAGTCTAGTGTTGGTTCACATGCTTCGTTGCTTTTCAGCCTTTGGTTGATTTTCATGGAAAATTGCTTCATCTATTAGAGCTGCTCAAACTCATACTGTTCTTCTGGTTGTGTTTTGGAATTCTTTAAATATCCAGTAAATCAGCTCTTCATAAAGCAACTCAGCCAGTTCTTATCCAGCATGTATTTATTCTGCCCTTGNGTTCACATGCTTCGTTGCTTTTCAGCCTTTGGTTGATTTTCATGGAAAATTGCTTCATCTATTAGAGCTGCTCAAACTCATACTGTTCTTCTGGTTGTGTTTTGGAATTCTTTAAATATCCAGTAAATCAGCTCTTCATAAAGCAACTCAGCCAGTTCTTATCCAGCATGTATTTATTCTGCCCTTGACATCTGGCTAGGAATGTGTGTATGTGGAGTGGGGGCATTATTCATTGGCACACGTTGTCCTCCTTGGGGCTTAGGGGTGGCAAAAAGCTTTTATAGTACCAAAAAAGTAAACATTGATAATGTGGCCTGACAGTAATCAGATATGCTAAGAGCTAAGAGCAAATGAAAGCAAAGCAGAATTGCTTCCAAATGTCACCAGATATTTAACCTTACCACAATAACAAGATCTAACTGCAGGGGCTAAATACATGGACAGGCAGCACCCTAGAGGATAGATGCCTAGTTGTAGCTCTACGCTGCCCCCTAGTGGTTGGCTTCTCCATTAGACCCTCTTTGGATCAAACCTCCTGCCAAGAGTTAAGAATCCCCAAGAGGGCCCAGTATTCAGGATGTTAGATCTGGTCTGAGCTCAAATTCTAGAGTTAATAACAGAGGGATTTCTTTTTACTGGCTGAAAAAAAAAAAACCCAAAATATGATGAGTAAGGCTCTGATAAGTCTTACTTCTGCAGGCTACCAGTGACTCTTGGGACCTCAACAGCCTGACTGATTTGTCAGATGCTCCAAGTGGCCCAGAGATAGGGATGGC